TTTTGTTGTCCATGCGTTCATCCAGAGCATGAGTCAAGTCTGAAGTTAACTGAGGGCATGACAAAGTAGTATGAGTTTCCACTCTGTTTCTTTGTGACTCAAGTTTCTGACTTCAGTCATCATCTCTGAGTGTCAGTGAATGCACAGCTATACTTCATATCATTATACAAATGGATTTCACAGACTGGCTAATAGAAGCGTTTATATTTATCAATTCTCCACTTAAGAATTTGCATACAAGGGGTCATGTCTATGGCTTAGATGATCAAAGTAAGAAATAGCAACATTCATATCATTAAATATTAGCACAGTTTTTAATGTTTTTGAAGTATTTACTGTTTTTGTATTGGGGTGAAATGTTTTTGTTTACAATAACAGCTACATTGACTTGAAACTTGACTTGGACCTGAGTCAACCTGAGCATGTGGTTTTGGGGGATATGAGTTATTTTCAAATATATATGTGTGTCCTTATGTAGTGTTCGGGTATATTTAAAGACACACTCCAGCTTAAAACAATTGTTTAATATGTTAATTGCTCTATTATAAATCGAATAGTTCTGGTCCTAAAATCTGATCGGCCATAAAATCCATGATATACACACAGCATGACTGCCTCACAACAACTGAACTGTATATCACTGCACCATGGCACGAAAAAACCCTTGTGCTGTCAACTAAATAATCGTTGACTCTCATGCTCACATGGACCACTGAGTACATTAATGAAGTAAGAACCTGTTTTTTGTTTAAACTGAGTGGCTGGCAACTTGTGTTCTTAACTAGAACTAGGCTGGTCAGCTAGCTAATAGGCTAAAAGATAGCTAACAGCCTAAACAACTCCATCACTAATATCACAGGCTTCAGTCAGAAGTCGCATCAAACCGAGGCTGAATCCCAAGTGGCTCTGTACTCCCTAAATAGTGTGCTAGCCATAAAGTTTAGAAATTCTAGCTTCTACAGCCAAACAGTGCATCATTTATTGAGTATGGATGTGACGAAATGTCCGAAATTACTATTTATTAAGTCGCCAAATATGAATATCATATTTTATGTTGGCCGCCGTTTTATAAAAGCAGGGCTTGTGTTACTGCGATTTTATCACAGGGAAGGGAGTTTTAGGCACTCCGCTTCACGTCATGCCTATAAATGCCCTTCACGTAATGAAATGGCCATAACGCACAGCCTCTCGTGAATTAATGCTTTAATATGTAATATTCTGTAGTGCAGCATTGAATTCCTCAGCTTCCTCGTTTCAACAGAATTTACTAATTTGTATTTGTCAGCAAACACTGAAGATGCTCATAGAATACAAAGCATAACATTCGCCATGCTTCAGTCTACTGTACGTCAGTTGCTCACTTTAATGAGACATAAATTTATTTGGATTAGAACGTATTTGCTTGGATTTGCATGTAAAATGCCATCATTTCTACACCATAATCTCTGTCCAGTGGAACTGCAAAGCTTCTGTGCACATTACGTTCTTTACAAAATGATACAATGAAAATTTAAAGAAAAAAATGTTTCATATTTGAAAGGGTTTTTTTCTTACCAAGAGCAAATCAATTTCCAACATATCAAACTGAGCATTTACTATAGTAAAATCTTTTGAAATGTATCATTTATCTTTTTTTTTTTCAGCTAAGGTTATTCCATTAGCCAACAACTGAGCCATTTTAGCTGTGCTGGCCCTGACCTTGGCAAAGTGCATTGGACATAGTGAGTAATGATACCGTTCACTGAATTGAGTTAGCTTCAAATGACATATCATTTATATCTATCCCATGCAATAGCATACACATAACGCAGCAGGATGATTAAAACGTACAAATCCCTGTCGTAAGGAGAGTCATGTCCTACAACAGTGTGCTTGGCAAAAGATAAAACTCCTTGCATCTTTGTTTTTTTCCCCAGCAGAGTTCCTGTGACTGCAAACATGCCCTATAAAAATTAATGACTTTTCTTTTGTATTCTGCTTGCATTTAATAATCAGCAGTGGGACTATTCATCTTCAAAATGAATGGTACATTTCTTAGCCAAAGGGCTATGCTGAAGCTACACATAATTGCTGACCGACTGTTTTTTCACAGTTTTATAAAGGTACTTTGACCTGTTGGCCTGTTGGCTTTAGTTCAAACATTTTTACCCCTAAATAAAGTTACATCTACAAACCCTTGACCTCATTGTGGAGCCTTAACAAGCACCTCTTTTCACATTATGGATATACTACAGTACTGTGCAATCTTCATGTACCTAATGTAATCCTACATGTATATCGTTTCCAGTGAAAATGACTATTGAGTACAAGTTATTCATTTGTAAGTATCATGGAAAAAAACAGAAATCATGTTGCTGTTGTCAGAAGAAAACCTTGTATCTCCAAAATGGTAACTTTACAGGAGAAGAAAAAAACCTACTTTACTTTTCATGTAAGTCAATGGAACCGGAATTTTTTCCAAGTAATTTTGGGATGTTTCTTTTGATCTATTCTTCATTAAATTTACATACAATGTAAAGAGCAACCGACATTTTCAAATTATGTCAGAAACTGAAAAATGACAAAAATGGATATATGAGGTTTTCTTCCGAAGCAGCAATATATTTAACAGAAAATTACACAAAAGCCTCAACAACTACACATCATTTTAAATGTTTCGGTATTTAGTGTCCACTCTTTGCTTTTATCGCAGCTTCTATTCTTTTCAGAAGACTTGCTTTCAGTTTTAATCTGGAGGGATGTTTTTACATGCTTCCCAAGTTCAGTCTTAGAAGTTGGTTGTGTTTTCTGCTTCTCGTGAACCAATTAGAATCTCAAACACGTTTAATATTCTGAGAACGCCAGCTGCTTAGAATGTTCTTCTCTTTCTCAGTAAGGGCTTCTAGTCAGCTACACATCCTTTCAGAATCATGGTGTTGAGTTGTCTTCTCACAGGATGAGAAGAAGGATGGACAGAAACACCTGTGGATTTTTTCAGATCTGAAGCAGCTTGATTTTCTCCTCTCTCTCAAAGATGTGTATCTGTTTATCTGATGGGGACAGTTTTGGTGGTCTACCAGGTCCCACAGGGTTGTTGGGGGTCCTTTTTTTCTCTGTATCTTTTAACAATTTTTTGAACTCCAGTTTTAGAAACTCTACTTATTTTCCTTTGACTTTTCTTCCTTATGCAAGTGGATTATCTTACATCTAACCTCCTGAGAAACATCCCCTGCAAAATTAATAACTTGTACTTAATGACACTTTTGACTGGAAATGAAATAAAAAAGGGTCTCTGACTTTTGCACAGTACAGTACACTGTATGCCCAAAAGCCTGTTGACACCTGCTTATCCAACAGTTCTTCTGAAATCAAGGGTATTGATAGAGAGTTTGTCCCTCCTTTGCTGCAAAAAAAACCTCTCTGCTCTCTAGATGTTGGAACATTGCAGTGAGCATTGGATTGCATTCAGCCACAAGAGCATTACTGATGTCACTAACAGATGTTGGACGTTCTGGATAGGGATGGGCGATTTGGCAAAAATACATGATATACATCAAAAGAAGTTTTGGAATATTGATAAATACGGAGCACCAAATCCAGTCAAACAGGTCTGATTATGCGCTCTTTGTAATAAAACATGTAGTTGTTCAGTTCTTTAAGTAGTGACGATATCCACAATATACTCAGAAAAGCATGTTGTGAGATAATGAGAAGTAATTCATAATGATAATGAAAATACTGTCATATTGTCACGTGCCAAACCCAGGTCTGGATCACAAACGTGACTAACTCATCCGTACTAAGCTACTGGATGAAGCTGCATCATTCCAAAGAACGCAGTTCCACTGCTCCACAATGCCGGGGGTCTTTATACCCCTCTAGCCGACGCTTAGCATTGGGCAAAGTGCTCTTAGGCGCACATGCAGCTGCTCCAGAGTGTCCCCTTATATAAGGATAGGATTAGGACAGATGGAGGCGACGGGCTTGGCTAGGGGTTAAACACAAAGGAGGAGAGTCCCTTTTAAGAGCCAATGAGAGCCGTAGGAGGGGGCTGTAGGAGGGGGTTGGCATGCTGCGAGTGCAACACGCGTTATTCTGCATTCCTTCACTCTCTTTGTCCTCATATCCGCAGACAAACAGCGCGAATCAACGCGGCTGACAGCGCACACTCTCGGGAAAAAGACGTGTGAGCATCGCTTGCCACACCAGATTATGCTGTAATGACGAGTGAGGGTTCATTTCCAGTCCAGATCGTGCACAAATTGCACGAAAGTGCGCCCCCATACGCACGTGCTGGGTCGCTGGTGGATCCTTTCCTAAGCATCAGCTTCCTTACTCTACTGCAGACGCACGCGACGTGGTGGACGGTGGGCTGGGAGGCGACCAGTCGCCCTCCGTGCCCCGCTTTCCTAGCTTTCCCAAGCCGTTACAGGGGCTTGCTCTGATTGTTTTTGTATCCCCTTTCACGCTTGAGTGAACACTGCTTGAGCGTGCGTGTGTGTGTGTGTGTGTGTGTGTGTGTGTGTTTGCGAGCGGGTGCTTGCGCACTCACGCACTGTTCGTGTGCTCGTTTGTATTTCTCTCTTTGTGGAGACCGAAATGCTAATAGGACATTTACACATTTGTCTAGGACAAAAGCACATTTTAAATAAAGCAGTCAGTTTTTCACTTTGGTTCCTGAGGACACGCTTTGGGGGTTTTCATATTCAATATTACAGATTATTAATATTATTTGCCTACAGTAGTAAATGTCCCCACAGGGATAGGTATACGAACTCTATATGTGTGTGCGTAAGGCGTTAATTTTCCCCACCTATATTCGAGAGAAAATCCCACCCTTTTTAAGATTGGCTTGTAAATTCTAATCAACCATTGGTGAGTACGAAATACTAGCCAATCAGAGTGCGCGAGGCGCGACAGCACTAGCCAATTACTGGCTACTGCAGGATAGGGAGGCGGGTATTTTCTGAATACGGGTAGGAAAAAAAACAACGCGTGCGAACCCCGCCCCCTCCTAAACGCCAGCCTGTATCAACTCCTTTAGCATTGGCGATAGCCGCTAACGTTAATCACGGAGATCTCTAACACGCGAGCACCGAGCACTGTGGCGCCTTAACGGAGTGGAGAGGGAGAACAGACGGTTGATGGACTAGCCTAGCCGACACATCTTTCTCATTCTCCTCGGGTTTCTTCGATGGGTTTTCACCTTTTATCGGCGTGTAGCCTCCGTCAACTGCAGCGGTAAGTTGTGAAGGAGATGAGGCTGAGGGGAGAAATGGTGCGAGCGTCGTTGCTAGTTAACGTGATGATGTTACAACCTGCCTGCCTGCCATTGTGTGTGTGGTTGCTAGCTGTGTCCAGTTTGCGTTTTAAGACGGGGGAGAAGTTTGAATAAGCTCGAGTCACACGAGAATGTCATTAGACCTTTAAACGGGTCGTTGAAAAATGTGAAAGCTTCGACTGGACAGGCGAGAAGTGAAGCCCTGCGTGTAGTTTGGGGACAAGTGTGCTTCTCTCAGGGAGAACCGTTAGACTGTTGTACTCACACACAGGGACACCTGTCCTCACAGCTCTCTCCAGTGATGGTTAAAGTCTAAAATCACATGTAAAGTCACGTTTAGCTAGTCTCATGCGTTTTCTCAGTATTTTTTAAGTGATAAAGACGTTAAACAGCCCAGCGTGGTGGAGAGATACATAGTTAAGCTAGCTAGGTTAACATTAACTAGAGCTTTTAGCTTCTAGCAGTTTTGGTAACCTTGGTTAGAAGCACTTTGTCCGTCTTTCTCTAAAAGCACTCTAGACTCTTGTAAAGTGTTTTATCCTGAATTTGCTCCACATGGCTCTAGCTAGTTTGCTCACACTGCTTGATCCTTGAAATTCACCCTCTACAGAGCAGTGCAGGTTCCTGCTTTTGCCATTGTAACCTAACGTTACAGCCCACATGATGGCCACGGGGTGCTGGTTACTGCATTATAAGCACCATCCTCAGGATATTTACGAGAAGCCAGAAGCGTGGCAGTGTGAGTGGTGCCTTGAAACCACGGAGACGTGAAAAATATGCGATTGGTGAACCTTAAAGCACACAGCCCTGTTTAGGACAGTGGTTCCCAGTCCTGGTGCTGGACTTCCCCTGTCCTGCACATTTTTAGTGTTTCCCCTCCTCATCAGCTCATTAATACACCCTTCATGAGGTTAGAGTGGGTGTGTAAGAGCACTAAAACCGAAAATGAGCAGAGCAGGACTGGGAAAGAGAGGGTAGTCTTTCATTGCGAAGAGTATCAGGTAGAGCTGGGCGATATGACAATATTTATCGTTATTGTGATAAATGATATTACAATATCCTTTTCTGAGCGTATCGTGGATATGATCAGTACTTAAAGAACACTGACTACATGTCTGATTAGAAAGAGAGCATAATTAGTCATATTTAATTGGGTTTAGTTAAGCACAGGGTGTAAAATGTTGAATATAAGTGATTTGATTCATAGTTTTTAATAGTATTTTTAATCAGTTGTCAGAAAAATAAATATTGTGACACTTCATATATTGAAAAACAGAACTTCCTAAAATATTGTGATATTACATTTTGCCATATTTCCCACCTCTAGCATCTGGACATCCATAGTTTGTCAAGCATGTAGCAGATTTTTTGGTTGTATTCAAAAAACTGTACTACTCTAACTATCATTCTCTAAATTGCCCATCACACCAATAGAAAGTCACATCATTTAAGGAGGACATAACCAAAAGACAAAGAGTTTGAAACAAGATGGAGCTGTGTTTGAGCTATATTTAGGATGGGGAGCTGTGATTTATTGACAGCTGATTTGCTTTTAAAACTGTGTTATAAATTTCCCATTCTTTTTTGTGAAAAGTAAGGGGAGGATTAAGTGGACACTTAGGGGTGAAATCTGAACCTGTGGTATCTGTGCAATCTTTTTGTCATACTTGACACTGTCCATTGCAGAACTGATTGATTTTTAGAATCTGCTCTTTCGTGAGGTTCTTGTTTGTGTTCTGTCCTGAATTGTGTCAGTATGGTGTGCAGTTGGGGGCAATGATGGATATAAAGCAAAGATTGTTTTTTTTTTTTTTTTTTTGTTTTTTTTTTCTTTTTCAAACTGCCACATGCTTGAAATGCTATTTCTCATGGTCCTTAGTTTTGCCGAAACATTTGATTACGTGAAGCTTTAGGTTCTTTTTTGGAGAAACATGCAGCTGAAGATACAGCTTGTCTGGCAAGGACAGAGAATTCCAGTACTGAATGTTTCTGCTAAATTAGGAAAATGGTTACTTGGGACAAAACCTGTTTCAGTAGCAAACCCTTCTGAGTGGACTGTGAAATAGGAATTTCATTTTAAATCAAAGCACTTTCATTTTCGCTGGCTGTATTATTTGCATACTTAATGTTAGGTCAGGGCTCTGTGAGTATCACTTACGCTTTAACTAATTATTAGGAGGTTGCAAATTGCAAAATTGAGACTGAACCCAAATTAATTATTCTTTTTCATTGTGAAACAGCAGATGAAAAGGGAACTGAAAGCAAGAAGAGATTTTTAACCTGTACTCTCACAAATTTCACATATTAAACTCTACAGTTGGCTATTGAATGTCCAGTTTATTCGTGTAGCTGTGGTGGACTCGCACTGCAGTTTAGCCCAAAGCTAGGCATAGCCCATGTCTGGGATGTTAGTCCTCACCAGTATCAGCACTAACCTAGGGTTGTCACTATTGGTTATATTAGTAATACTGAGTATCTACCAGTCAATTAAACAATTAAGTTATCAGAGATTTAAATAAAGGCCAGAAAAAATGGTCTTGGCCAAACAATAACAAACTATGTTTAGCCTTTCAAAGATTCCAAAGTAATTTAGTGGAAGAAGACAAACTGTACTGTTATCATGCGGGACATCAGTTTGAGAGGTTAAAATGCATGATTGGTGGACTATCATTGCTGATTCATTGAGAAGATAAAGTACGCTTTATTAAAGATTAAGTAATTGTGTTTTCATAGTAACCTGATCTTGAGACGTGTTTCAGGTAGGCTTGTTTGGCTTGTTGGCCTTGAACCTGATGGCAGTAATGGTGAATTTGAAGTGTAAAGGGGCGTTTACAGTAGACTTCGTCATTTATTACTAATCACAGACACGTGGCATACTGTAGAAGGAACCTATTGTTATATTAATATCTCACATTTTTGATTTTCTCATTGGCTTCCTTGTGCTGTTTGCCTTGTTACACAGTAAACTGCCTACAGCTAATACCTACTGTGGCAGTATTATGGGCTGGTGGCTGTTTCCCTTGTCAGAATTGACACTACACCGACAAAATGCACTGTCAGTGGTAGAACATGTTTATGTATTGGCAGATCCCTGGTGGTTCAGCATTTCAGCTGTAATGAAAACCCCAGCCGTATTGGAAATGTGATAAAGCGTGCAAAATGTGATGTTCGTCAGGTGTGAAGTCCAGTGCAACATAGACTAGACACTGGATGATTAATGACAGAGAGTGAACTCTCTCTCTCTCTCTCTCTCTCTCTCTCTCTCTCTCTCTCTCTCTCTCTCTCTCTCTCTCTCTCCTTTGTCTTTTTTACTCGTCTCTCTAACTAATTCTCTAAGGCAGCTAATCTGAAACACCACTCAGTCAAGATTTTAATTACCCAGCACTTGAACTGCATAAGAGATGCAGCCTCTCCCTGAAGAGTGACTGATTTTTTACCGGGCACATGCTGACTTCCTCATGTGCCTGTAATGGATTTTCTCCTATTGTTAATTGCTGGCGAATGGGAATAGGAATTGACATACAGAGTTCTCAGGGCTTTTTATCTGTGTGTGGAGCTTAAGATTCACGTCAGCCAAAGAGATTTATGCAGAATTCTGCTCCACCACACCAGCTCCTCATTAGTAAGTATGGCTTTATTTCTTAAACGGGTCAAATGGATACTTAGTGTTTTCGAAATATTGGTTCAGTGATTCAGAGATGATTTATTCATAAAATATGTCAGATAAAGAATTTTATCATCCTTTGCTTAAAGTAGACCTAATCATATGTTTCCTAGTCCTGATTCCTGCACTATACAGGATAATACTGTGCCAGTTTGAACACACCTGACACTTCACTTTGTGCTATAGTGCAGCAGTTTTCAAGGCAAGAATTCTGTGTAAAAATGAAAGAAGGCAAGTGATCATGTGGTAATAGTGATGGTCATAGTGAGTGACATACAGCTGGTGAGTGCGTCCTTATTACCCTTCTGATGACATCAAACATTACCTCAGAGATTACTCATTATCTTGTTTGGTAATGAGAAGTGTCGTGGCTGACTAATTGTGGAGAGTCAATAGGACGTTTTTTGCCAGCAGTGTCAGTGATTGCTTTGTCTGCTCTCAGTTGGCTTGTTTAAGTTTCAGAAATTACCAGGGGCAAAGAGCAGAAACAGCTCCACATTCAACATTTCCACCCCTTATGATGCAACACATGCCCCCAAAATAACATCAGGGTGGGCGATATATTTGTTGTTAAACTTGCCACAACCAGACACTGTTTTCAGCAACGAGATATCAGCAGGGAAGACTGCAGCATCCAGGTCAAGTGATTCACGTGGGGGGCCAGGAATACGGATCAGTGAAATAATGATTATTACTATTAAAGAACAGTATTTTTTCTTACGTGCCTTGTTTGTCACATTTGGGGAAAAAAAGGTATCGCAAAAAAGTTTTGCCTTGTTGTTGGTGTTGCATTGGCATCTGTATCGGTATCAAAAAATTTAATAGAATAACCAGCCGTACTCTTAATTGACACATACAGTCTGATGTTACAAATAGAAAGGTTTGAACCTTTATAACTGAGCCCGACTGATATGGGATTTTTAAGACTGATACTGATTTCGATATTTAAAGATTTAAATGATGATTGATGATATTCTCCTTCAGAAATACATAACAAATAACGATTTCCCCAGCATTTGTTATGTGTAGTTATTGAGTCCACACCAGGATAACATGACATAATGCAGTTGCAACTTCACACTTTAGTGTTACGAACATAAATAAACATCTGGGGTATTATCGTTTAAAGAATTTAATGATTAAATGGATTACATGTGGGAGTATCTGAACATGGCGTGCTACTCATAACTATACCAGAACTCCCTGCATATCAGTGACCTCTGCGCTCTGACAAAACAGTGCCATTACAATATACACACACTACGCGTTTCAAAATGAGAAGCTAGATAACTTTCT